TCCCTGACTCTGAAGTTGGGATGCAGAACTGCTACAGTTCCTCTCTCCCCTTGCTGGAGTCTGTGGACCATTCCCTGGAGCCAGTTGCATGGCAAAAAGGGACTGGGCGAATCCATCCAGTTCTGTGGAAATGGCTACATTCTTTCCTTTAATAGGCAGAGATGCTGGGATGGCTGTGTAGACAAAAAACATTTCAGGGCTAAAGGAATTCTACCTGGGGGCCTAGGGCAAAGCTTCTTCAGGAGGTAAAACCTTCAGGCTGTACTTTGTGGAATAGCTAGGATTTTTGCAGTGCAATGAAGAAAATCATTCCGAAGGCTAGACAGAGACAAAGCAAAGACCCACAAGCAGGTGGCAGTAATGTTAGGGACCTGCCAGCCTGTGATTAGATGTCCCTGGAACAGCAGACACACCATACAAAACTAGAGGGCTGTGATGAGTGACTTGATGTTCTCGGAGCAGCACATACCCTACCAAGGTCTAGAACCATGGGGAGATGCCAGCTCCTTTAGGGAGTTGTGGGCAGTGTTCATGCCAGTCCTGGGGGCCTGTATATGCCACTCAGATGGAACAGCTGGCCAAGTGGGGTGGGGGCACAGCTTCTGCCCACCTGGACCTTGGCTGTTCTTGTAAAGAAGGAAAGACAGATTGGGATAAGCCTGACCCTGTGGATGTGGAGTCCTGTGCTCAACCTTGCCCTACTGCTGTGCCTCTGAACCCCACAGCACTTCTCAGACTTCCATGCTTGCCAAGTGCACCATGGTGGGAGTATTATGGAGGTACCACACACACATTTTCTGTTATTAGAAGGGACCAAACGTCAATGTATGTGTATCAGGTTTCTAATACAGAGAGAAGGGACCACCAGCTTGGAGACAATCCAGAAAGCCTAGTAAAAACACAAAAAACAAGTGGGAGCAGTTGAACGATGAGCCCTGTCTCCTGGCCACTACTCTTGGGTAGACATTTGGAGCCAAGCTAAGGTGCTGACTTGCTGTCCCTGAAGACACTGACCTGGTCACCTTTCTCCTACTACCAGGGCTAGTCTCCATCGGAGAACTGAAGTCAGATGCTCAGCGCCTCTTTCTCCACAACCCTAAGTGCACACCCCCCACCCCCCAGGATTCTAACCTGCTCTTTAATTGCCTATCAGTGGGACTCATTAAGTTCTGTCATTTGAACAACTCACGGGGGCAGCATATTTTCCTCTAAATGCAGATATTCTTTTGAGGAATTGTGTCTATCTCTCACAGAAAAATCACTAAATTAAAAGAATTGCCATTTAAAATTGCAGACTAAAGAGAAACTTAATTAGAAGGGATAGAAGCAGTTGTATTTGGAGCTTTTGTTCTGGTCCCCCCCACCCCCCTTTGGTTGTCCAATCACTGCACTTGGAGTTTGTATATTTGTGTTTTAGGTGAAATGATTTGCCTAATTAATATTGTCATTCATCACCACCTGTTCTTACTAAAATATATGGCTGTCATATTAAGCATGCCAAAGGATGTATAAATTAATTCATTGGGGAATTACAGTGTCGACTAGGACATTCTTAGGTTTTATTCTATGTATCTGGTAAGAAAACTGATATTTTTTCCCAATAAAGCAAAACATCAGCTTGTTAAGTTTTTTCATTTATTCATGCATGGAGCACCTGTTACCTTGCAGGTACTATATGAGATGGGGGACACGTGGCACCTTTACAGCCCATTCTCAGTGGCTCTTGGGAGCCAGGCAAGGAGACTGGTGATGTGGATGCCATGGCTGGGGGAGTTCTGAGGTTTCCTGAGAGAAGTAGCTTCTGAAGGGTGGTGGAGACAGTAAGATGTCTGAAGGCCTCATCGCCTGTACCTAAGAACCCGAGTTCCAGGGCTCCATGGTTAAGAACACCTGGCTACTCTTCTGGAGGACTGTGTTGTAGCCTCCATATTAGGAGCTCACACTTGCTTACAATTCCAGCTTTGGGGGATCCAGTACCCGATTCTGTCTTGCATAGGCACTGCACACACGAATGCTTCTGCATTCAGACCCAGACACACACACACACACACACACACACACACACACACACACACACACACGCCTTTTTGTTTTCTTTGAAGAGCTTGGGTTCCTCTGTAGTGGTGGTATGTGGTCTGCATAGGAGGACCTGTCCTCCCATACAGCATTCTGCTTGCTGTCAGTTCCTCTGTGTCTGTCCCTGCACAGTGTCTAAATGAAGAGGAGCAGACTCAGGAAACAACAAAGCCCTGGGTAGAAGGGGAGGAGTCACCCAAAGGCAGAGTTTGCTCCCTATGAGGAGCTCTACCCACCCCTGCTCCAACCATTTAGAGTACAGAGGTCCTGTAGGGGTGCTGTGAACCTTTCTAAACGACTCAAGGAGATTCTCCCAGGGCAGCACTGGGTTCAGTAACGAGATACAGCCAGCCCCTCAAATATTCAGCCTGATGACCAGTCCTGCCTTGCCCCATTTTATAACAGAATGCTGAGTCTAGGTAATTTATAAAGAAAAGTGGGCTATTTGAGATTATGGTTCTAGATGCTGGCAACTCCATTCCCTCCTGCAGAAGGAGGAAGGGTGATCTGGCAGCTGTGGAAGCGGAAAAACTGGGTGTTCTGGGGCGTTCCTCTTGCTCATGTTAGCTGATGCAGTTTCAGAACTTGGCATTCATTCCCACAATTCAAATACTTCCCTTAAGGTCCCACTGTTCAACATTGACTCATCCAGCACAGGAATTTTGGGGGACACACTTAAGACGTACAAAACCCAGCATTTTCGGAGCCTCTCTTTCTATTGCAAAGTGCCAAGTGCCAGGCAGAATGTTGCCTCACTGTGTGCTGCCTGGGCCCCAGGTGATGGCATGTCCGTCTCTCCTCTCCATTCTCGCAGCCCAATTCAATGGCAACGAGAAGCGGCAGTCTTCCCCATCACCTTCTCGGGACCGACGGCGCCAGCTCCGCGCTCCTGGAGGAGGCTTCAAGCCCATCAAACACGGGAGCCCTGAGTTCTGTGGGATCCTGGGAGAGAGAGTGGATCCCACCATCCCACTGGAGAAACAAATGTAAGTTCACCGATGCAGCGCCGGGGGCCACCCCTGCTCCTCTAGATGCTGTGCTCTCCTCCACATCTTTATGGTAAGAACGTACTTGATCACTCGTGACAGAGGCTGTTGGGAGGCCAGAGCTCCCCACCCCTAGCCAGTCCTGGTCCATGTTGCCACCCTGACCCTCGGTGCCTGGCAGGAAGGATTTCAAATTCTTTAGCTGTCACTTCCATCCTAGTCGCTAAGTCTAAACTAAGCCTACCCCTCAGTGTAAATTAGGTGTCTTCTGTTGCTGCTATGTAGCTTTCCTGCTGCCTCTGCGTGCTGTTCACCGGCGCAGGCCTTTGCACTCCCCAGGCCCTTTCTCCAGAGATTGCTCACTTCTTGTCACCGTTGAGGTCCACCCATGCCGTCCTGCCCCTCCTCCCAGCACTGTGCCAGGACTGGCCCTCTCACTGCCCTTCCTCTTGACCATGATGACACCTCCCTGTTCTGCCAGGTCCCTGTCTCTGTGACTCCCTTTCTCTAGGATAAAGTCCCAGCTTCCTTGGTTTCTTAGCCCATCAGTATTTGGGCTGCAGTGAGTTTCTCCAGGCATAGCAAGTAAAGTACAGTAAAGGGAAACTAAGGCCCAGCCGGCCTCTTATCCTAGACCCCGTTCTCTCTTTACCTTTACCTTCCTCCTCTTGGACTTCTCTTATCCCTAGCCCAAGCATGTGCCTGGTACAGAGTGGGGTTTTATAAAGTGAGAGGTTTTCCTGGGCAGTGGTGACACACACCTTTAACCCCAGCACTTGGGTGGCAGAGACAGTTGGATCTCTGTGAGTTCAAGGCCAGCCAAGACTACGCAGAGAAACCCTGTCTTGAAAAACCAAAATAAATAAAAACAAAAACAAATGAATACATAAATAAGATAAGAGATAGCCAATGGTTACCAGCAAAATTGCTTCTGTCTGTGCTAAGTTCCAGTCTTGACATGAGTGATACTGGTTCTCAAGCCAAGTGCCCTTCTCCAGGGCTTCTCTGACCATTCATGCCAAAGACGGCACCTTCCACCACAGTAGTCACTGCCTCATCACAGTTCTTGTATTCCTGTGGAACCTTTGTCCCTTTGTTGACCCTACCTCTCCATGTCAGCCCCATGAGATCCAGGGTATAGTGAGTCACTTTTGATGAAACCAGTTGCTATTAGATGGGATGAATGGCAGTAGTTGAGTCTGACCTGGCTGGCCATTTTCACAGGCTCCAGCGTGTGCCCAGATGGTCCCTTGCTCAGGCCCAACAATAGTAGGCAAAACCACCAAAGACAGCCTGTGGTCTACAGCCCCCTACTGGCAGGCTGCCTGTTGGGTCCTGACTCCTGATCCTGGGCCCTTTGCTCTTCTTTGTGACTGTCCACTCCTGACCCCTCCTTTCTTTCAGCATAAAATAACCAGGACAGGACCTGGCAGCTTAGTCTGTTTGCCACCAGGGACTACCCCTGACGAGGCCTCAGGAGGCCCTTGTCTGTCTCTCCCCACCCCTATGCTCAGGGAGGGCAGACAGTGGGCAGCAGTTCCCTAGGACTCTTTCCTGCCTCCCTGGGGGCCGTTCTGTTTCAACTGGCTGCAAATTGTGCAAAATGCTTCTGCCAGCTTGCTGGAAGTATGTCACTCAGGCCACCCCTCCTGAGCCTGGTCTCCCCAGATCTGTGACTGCTTATTTGTGAAGCCCACTTTGTTTTTGTTTGGCTGTTTCTCCCCATGACTGCTTTGGGGCCTGACATCCTTGGAAATTTTTTTTTTATGGCAGCCTAAACATCCCCAACCTGTGGCTCTGATTCTGTGTAACCATAGAGAGAGTGGCCATGTAGGTCCAAATGCCCCCTGTACCACATGTCCTTCCTTCCTCCTTCTCTGGCTCATGTAGTATGTAGAAACTGGATGCTGGGATTCTCATTTGCCCAGCCTGGTGCCTGGACCATTTTGCAGGAACAGGATCAAGCCAGTCTCTTTCAGATTAGTGAGCTGCCCTCTGCTTTGCCCATGTGAGGCTTCCTATCCAGCATGTTCTAGGAGTCTTTCATCGAAGGAAATGCCCTGGGCCACGCTGCCTTCTCCTGTCCCCATCATTCCTACCCATTACCTCTGCCTAGCTGCTCCAGCCTACGGCTCTTTCCATCACCAGTCTTGTGCCCACACTAGACTCTGCCACACTGCTGTTCTTTGTGACTTCCTTTCTTACCTCCTCAGGTCTGCACTGCTTGTCCCTTCACAGGCTTTCCTGGTCACCCTGCCTAAAATATCCCCAGCCATGTGACCCGGCCTCACTTTCATCTCCTTAGCACATGTCACCATTGGGCAAACTGGATGACCACAGAGTATCTGGTGTTTAACTGCCTGCATGGAATGTGAGCCCTCTGTGGGTTTCTGTACTCTTCTCCCTCAAAATCTGACATGTGGCAGACACTGGCAAAACAGCTGTTGAACCTCTTCACAGGGAGCTGGAGCCAGCATCTGCCCTCTGAGGGGACTGACTCTCCTTGGAGGTCACTCTGGGGGCCCTGTTCCCACCCGGCTCTGACTACCCCCTTGTCCTCTCCCCAGATGGTATCATGGAGCCATCAGCAGAAGTGATGCTGAGAACCTGCTGCGACTCTGTAAGGAGTGTAGCTACCTTGTCCGGAACAGCCAGACCAGCAAGCATGACTACTCCCTCTCCTTGAAGTGAGTACTGCCTACCCCCACACAGTGGAGTGTATTTGCATGGGTCTAGTGAAGAAAGGGCACATCCAGTTTCCCCAAGAATCTTGTCTGCATGAGTTATTTTAAGCCTTGGATTTTAATTTAGTCTCATCCTGTGGACCCAGTTTCCTGGGGAGGAGAGGTTTATCCTCAGAAGTATAGCCACCAGCTAGGAAGAGCTCCTCTCGTGTGCAGTGCACCCAGACCTGCGCTTGGCTCTTAGCAAGTCCTGCCTTCTTCAGCTTCATCCTAGTCCTTTTATGGGGAATATGTTGTCTCAGTCTGTAGCCTGGGAAACCGAGGTTCACAGAGAGCAGGTGACTGATGAGCATCGGTCTGACCCTCCATGGTGCTGGGTAGCTGCTGTGAGAACCCTTTCCTATTGTCCAGGTTGTCTTCTGGGCAGATCTGCCCCTCATATGCTCCACAAGTTTGGGAGGGAATGCTGTGAACCAGAAAGAACCCCCCTGGGGTTATCGCCTGTGGTCGATTTGCAGATTCCCAGGTCTTTCTGACTTTCTGACCGGCGAGCTGTTGAAATGAACAGGTTTAGAAATAAGAAAGAGGTTGTTGGGTTGTCTCTTCCTTTCCAAGTGAGTGTTTCATTGTTCAGTGATACTGCTAGGCAGGACCCAAGAGATCTTGAATCTATTTTATAGATAGGAAAATTGGGATTCAGAGGAAGAGAAATTCTCCAAGGACATAGAATTAGTAACACAACTGGGGTATGAACCAGGTCCTACATCCAGACATACTGGGTATCTTGCCTTCCCTTTGCCCTGGGTCATTGCCTGAGGCTCACGATGGACAGTGGGCTTGGCAGCACTTCTTTCAGGAAAATTTGTACCTATGTGTTGGCAGGGTGGGCTCCCTGTCAGGGGGCCAGCCTTCTCCCCGAAGTTTTAGACAGCCTGCTGCTATCAAGGGCACTGGTGCTGCTGGCTTGTCGCTCCCCTTTATCTGTCTCAGCGTTCATTCCTCAGGGATCACATTCTTCCTAGAATCACTGTTGTCTGGGCACTGTGAAGGGGCCTCTACAAAAGTCCTGCTTAGGTGCTCAGTAGGAGAAGCAGAGGCCCTATGTGCAAGGGCTAGGACCTTAGCAGGTATCAGCCTTCACATTTGGTGCATGGAGACATGCCTGTCCCCAAACCTAGTCTAGGTAGGTGCTATGGCCCTGTGGATTCAGCACAGCTCTGCCTGTGGAAAACACTCTACTGAGAACCTGTGGTGTGTATTTAAGGGGTCTGCAACCAGCTGTAAAGAAATGACCCCAGTGAACCTAGCATCATCCATATTTCCACCCGCTTGAGCAATGTCTCTTCATTACCTAATATGCATAGAAACCAAGTCACAGGTTGGTTCCAGAAGCCAAAGGCTTGACCCCTTTATCCTTGCCACATGTCATTCTTTGGATTGAGGCCCTCTCAGGGAGTTGGGGCTGTACCTTGGTTCTGCTTTTATGGTGATAGGCTTGTCATTCAAGTGGTCTGGGTGCTGTGGTAGCCAGTGGGAAGCCACCTCCCTCCTTGGATGTGGCCTTCACAATTTTGAGCCTCCCTGCCCTAGTCTTTGAACCAGAATGGTTACCTGTTCTAAGCAACAAGCATCTAGTCCAATCTGCATTGCCCATGGGACCTAGTGTAGTTCCCATCTACTGCTTCTTGCCAGTAGCCTTGAAGATTGCTTGTAGTCCAGTTCAGAAACATGTGTTTGGGCTTTGGTGACACTTGCCCTTAATCCCAGCACATGTGAGGCAGAGGCAAGTGGATCTCTGTAAGTTCAAGGACAGCCTAGTCAACTAGCAGGTCGTAGGCCAGCTATGATTATATCATGAGACTTTGTGGTCCAAGATCCTAGATGCTCACTGCTTGGCATGCCCCTTCCCTTTCCTGTGTACAACATGGGCATGTAACCACCAGACGTCAGACTTTGACAGTCACTATAGACACCACTATAGGCTCCCCATGTGTCCCTGTCTTTGGATTCAGTCCCCACTTTTTGCTTGGTGTGCATTCTCTGGCTAAATACACTGTACTTCCCCAGCCAGTGGAATCCAGCATGCTGGACAAGAGCGCTTGGCCACCAGCCTGAGTTCTAGTTTATTGACCTGTCCTGTCTGATCTAAGCACCAGGCCTGCTGTGGAGCGACTACTGTTTTAGCACAAGGAGCTGGAGGGTTGGTTTTGTTTGTCTAGAGCCATTAGAATACCAGCCCTGATAGTCAGAGGGGTATGCTCACCCAGGCAGTCTTTCCTTGAAGAAAGGAGAGCTGTGGAGAGGTGTCTCCCAGAGTAGCTGTGTTCTGTGACTCCTGTCCACAAGAACAGCCCTGGTGCTATGGGTACTGGCTGCTTTGAACATACACCACCTTTGCCAGCCTGTGTGCTGTATGTGGTTTCTCACATCCTCAGGCCTGCTGCCCCCAGCCAGGTGCAGAATGGCAGCCCCACACATACACATAAATACTTTGCAAGCTGACATTGGAATTCCAGCTATGTGTCTTCTCAGCCTCTGGCCATTTTCATGTGGGCCTTGGGTCTTTCTGTGAGAAAGGTCTGTGGAGGAGAATGTACTTGGAGAAGCCTATTCCCCTAGAACAGGGGCCTCTACCTGCTTGGTCTTCCCTTGGAAGAGTGTTGTTGGAACCTTCTGTACCTGGCACTGGGGTCTGTAGAGAGAGTGAGCCAAGGCAAATAGCCAAGCCCCGCTGCCAACTCCCAACCCTGCTCATTCTGACTTCCTTGCTGCATGCAGGGTAGCACAGAGGGGTTTGGGTGCCCAGAGGTGGTCTATAGGGGTTGGTCACCACCACTAAGGGCCAGAAGCTGCTGGGCAAAAGCTGCTCATGATCCTTAAGAGACGAGAGTGTTCCTCAGGCAAGGTAAAGATGTGTTGGTGTTGAGGAGCCTCACGGGACTTCTGTGCCTTGTAGAGGAGTTTTTCAGATTCTCAGTGACAAGGACAGCAGGTCCTGCTCAGAGTTCTGTCTGCTCATCCATCAGCAGATAGATGTCTGTGGCCTGCACATTTGTCGTCATGCAGGGTCTAGAGCAAATTCCCAGATCTTCATCTGAAGTCAGAGGTCTGAATGGCCTGCTAAGGTCTCTAGCAACACTGAGGTTTAAGCTATGGTGCATGCCTATGAGTGCCCCACCGCCCCGCCCCAATCCCCCCACCTTTGCCCCTGTTATATTTGATCAGAAGGCCTTAGGATGTCAGCTGTGAAAGTGACTCTAGGGGTTTATCTAAGCGAGGAAACAGCCCCAGTGGAGATTCAGAGTGGACATAACTCTGCCCTTGAGTGTATATTTGACTATTCTGACAATGAAGACTTACTTCTGTGGGGACCAGTGACACCCTTGGATCTGACAACACTGTCCCCCTCCTCCAGCTCCCTGTGCCTGTGGTCAATGTCTATGCCCTGTCCTCCATCACATCTCAGATGTGTCTGTCACTCCCGGTACTGTGGTTAACACCCACCTTTGAAGCTAGTTCAAAGAGCCTTCAAATGTCTTTTATCACTCTCTAGTCTCTCCTGCTGCAGATGCCTCTCCTGCCACCTCAGCAAGGCATGTACTAGCCAGCCTCATGCCTACTGCTGGTCCTGGGTGTGTTGGGTACGCTCACTCCAGCCAGGCAAGCAAAGGGTTGAGCCTTTAGCAGTTGGTGAGAAAATATCAAAAGCTGCTGCCCTCTCCTTTCTCTGGAAAGGCAGTCTCGGGCCTGGGGAAAGGGGTGAGGAGCAGTCTTGTTAACAGGGTTCTTCAGGCACTTTGAATGTGAAGGTCTCTTTGAGTTTTAGTTCTGCAAATTTTTGCAAAAGAATTTGGACAAGATAAGGGAAACAGGACTTCAGAGACAGCAAGTTTGGGGCTAGGGACATTATGAGTCCTGATAGGTGGTGGTGGTGGGGCTGCTTTAGGGCCCATTCCTGTGTGCCTGGGGTAGGTACACAAAGTCACACTTCTGAAGTCCCAAGAGCAGACGAGGACCCATCCCCAGCTCTTCCCACTGTACTGGGGAGTGCCTCCCTTAGGGCCCTCACAAAAGGGGCCTTTGGCTTTCAAGTCCCCAGAGATAATTGCCCGCTTACAGGGATTGACCTGTTTCCATCTTGTCTCCTACTCCAGCCTGAGTACTTGATGCATCCCTCGGCCTGCGTGCTTGGTCCTATTTGATCACAGTTACTTCCTGAGGTCCAGCCCTGCAGGGCTTCACAGCCTAGCAATGAAGAGGAGACACCTAGGAAATACACTAAAAACGTTAGGAGTTGACAGGTCAGAAAGGTCCCTGGGCCGCACATGAGGGAAGGGGCCAGATAAAGAATTGAAGGACAATAGGTCTTAAGTGGTGGGCAGTGGAGAGGGAGCAGGTACAGCATGCTAAGGACAGCAAATCCCACACTGATCCATGCCCAGGAGTGGATGGGCCTTTATCTTACAGAGAATCGAGGAGTTCCTGCAGGGTGTACCCAGGGAACAGTGATGCTCTCTGAGCCCTGTTCTAAGATCATCAGTAAACTAGACATGAGTGTTGACAGAGAGAAAGGCCACAGCTTTGGCCTCCCCGTGTCCTACATGCCACACCTATGTGACCAGAAGTCTGCACGCACAGTCAGGGCACTGGCGGGGGACCTACTGTGAAAGGGTTGGGGAGAGGTAGCATGAGAGCATCCTGGTGTAGAAGCTCAGATGGAGAGGGAAAAACTGGCTGCCCACTCAGAGGCACTTTGGGTGGAATTCTGGCTCAGTCTTTCACCGGCCATCTGATGCTAGGCAAGTGGCTGTCCCCCTGAATCATGTAGCAAACATGAGGGTCTAGGTTCAGTCCCCACACTGCAAACAAGTGATAATAAGGCAAGGGTCTGAGGTTGGATCATAACACTTGCTCCCAGTTGTGTGGCTCTGCAGTGAGTCCATGGAGACTTTTCCTGAGTCTGAGGACAGAGGAGGGCCCACCTCCATCCTGTGGGGTGGGGT